ATTCATGATTAGGACCTTCATTAACCGTTACAATTGGACTTTGATTGAAAAATTGGTGAAAAAGGTGTGACACCACAGTGGGGCTGCTCGTTTGGTGTCACACCTCTTACACCAATTTTTAAGTCAAAGTCTTTTGTAAAGGGTTACTGACGGTCCTAATCATGAATATGGTACTAATTATTCATGCTAACTCCATTTTGCGCGAATTTTGGAACGTCAACTCGAAATGCAAAAATTTGTCACCACGAGGAATCGAACTAGGGACCCCTTTTTCTGGTATTCAGAGGGCCGTTCAGGAAAAATTAACCATGGTTCTGTGGTTCCCGCATGTGCCCCTATATCATGCAAAAGACCGTTTTCAAAAAGCTTGGCACGCCCTGAAAGACCTTCCTGGTAAGTGCATTGAAATAACACGCGTCAAACACATTATGACTTCTGAAAGGAAGAAGGACGGGGCTAACGAAGTTTCAGAAGAACGCCCCCATGGGCTCTGATAGGACATACTTGATATTATGCGTACAGGATTGAGCGATTCCAGGGGTCTTCTTCGGTCGATGTCAGACTGCGAATCCGGCAAATCCGCGGGGTACGGACGTGCGCCCGGTATTTGAACGATGTACCAGCGACACGACATTTGGAAGTAGAGTCGCCTCTAATCACTCCCGCCCCTATCTCACTCATGCCTCTCATTGACTCAGTGAACAAGGTCAACCGTCACGTTGGACCAATTTCGAAAATTTTACGACCCCCTCCCCCTCTGGAGGGCCTCGATACGACCCCCCCCAGGGCCAACTCCTCACGACCATCCTCCACCACCCTCGCCTGCCGGGGGCGATTCTATAGTATTTGATTCTGAGATCAGTCGACACAGCCCAACTCCGCCCACTTTTCCTTCCAAAATTACCGTCGAGGGGGGGGGGGGAATTGAACGTGAAACGGCAAAATTTTCACACTCACACTCAACCCAAAGCCCAGCCTACAAGAATCCACTTATCCGTTCCATAAAAAAACATCCCTTCCCTTACTGTAACATTAACGCTACCTCGCGAAATACGATCCCCCTCTTTTCCCCCAAATACGACCCCCACCCCCTCGTTGGACTTTGTCCAACGGACGGTTGACCCTGCTCGTTGGAGCCGGGAAAGTGGAGAGAGTCAATGTAGCTCTCCGCCTCTCGAAGACTCTTCCCGTCATTTCGAGTCCTCGGCATTGTTCCAAGCCTGGCATATCGCTGGACTCCCCCCCCCCCCACACACACACACACTTCGATTTGCATGCAATAATTTGCAGTCTGGCACCGACCTATGGGTAATGGTGTCATATTTTTACGGCCGTATGGATTTGTCTCAATAATTCCTGGCTTCCCTTTCGACACTTTTTGTTGCATTCAAGTTATCTCGAAAGGAACAGGTGATTCAATAGCATAACCACGATCATGGTCACTGATATACGTGAATGTGCTGGGGAATGTTTGAAAGCTTCCCGCCCAGAATGAGTGAAGCTGGAAGTTGAAGAATTTGGAGAGGTCGTTTTTGTGGTGGTCGCAATCTTTAACTTTCTTCCTTGCAGAGTGTTTATTCAAAGCCGGGGCGTATTCCGACTATATACGACGGACCCATGCCTTCACTATATCTCTATGGAGTGAGCGCTATCGTCGGCCCCCTGCTACCTCCGTCAGAGCGCGTAAGGCCCATCTGCAAATACTACTCCACCCGTGCGTCTTCATTTGGCAAGAAAACCTCCTAAGATGTTTCTGGCGAATCCCCCCTGCAAATACCGATCCAGCTACAGAACGCTCACCGCGACAGCAGTGAATCCAACTGTGCTACAAACAGCTCCTGTGGCAAAGGCTGGTCCTGTGACCACCCAAGCGCAAGCTGATAAGGTTTGCCTTTTATCTCATACTCCTGTATATGTATAAGCATTGCAATTGCAAGCACTCATATCGGATTATGATGTGGAATTATTTCAGAAGACCCCAGCAGCAGTGGGAAAAACACAGCAGCCCGAAAAAGTGAGTAGACATTAACATGTTTACTAAGTGCGAAATACACACGCTTCAACATTTATGATTCATGAAGGAGAGAAAGGAGGGGGAGGCTAACGCAGTTCAGAAGAACGCCTACCCATGGCTCTGATAGGAAATACTTGATGTTATGCGTACAGGATTGAGCGATTCCAGGGGTCTTCTTTGGTCGATGTCAGACTGCGAATCTGACAAATCGCGGGGTACGGACGCGCGCCCGTTATTTGAACGATGTACCAGCGGCTCGACAATGTGGGGAAGACGGGAGTCCCTCTAATCTACTCAAGCCACTAGCTCCTGCTCAGCTCTCATTCACTCGTGAGCCGGGAAAAGTGGCGAGAGTCTACGTACATGAGAGCGACCCTTTCCCGCATTTTCGAATCGTTGGTGCATTGTTTCAAGCGCTGGGACATCGCTCGACTCCCCCCCCCCCATACCCCCGATCCGCTGGCGATTTAATAGGTTTGCAAAGTCTGGCGCCGGCCTATGGGTGAATGGGTCACATGCCACGCAGGCACGTCAAAGCTGATTCGATTTTCGTTGTGAATTTCCTGGTTTCCCACACAACGTGTTAACACATTGTGAACCTGTACTGGGTCTCACTTTAAAGCAACATCCCCAGCAGAAGTCGTGTCAAAGAATCTATTCAGTGGGTGGATAGAGTAGCCCACGAGTAGCACAGATGTGCCGTTGTCGCGGCTCGAAAGTGCGCGACAATGGCGCTAGGGTCTTACAAAGTCAGCATTTGGCGACTAATCTTAGCATTTGGACGAGTTACGTTGCGCACACCCATGATACGCAACGTGGATCACGGCGTAGCTGCTAATTCAAATGCGCACTAACCTAAGTAAAGCAACAGTCCCAGCAGGGTGGGCGTGGTCGGAAACGACTGCAATCCCCTCGGCCGATTCCGACCACGCCCACTTCAGCTCCCTCCTAGCGGCTTTCCAAGGTGAGTTTTTGTTCAGTCACACTTCTTACGTTCTTGACTAGGGGCTGAACAGCTCCGAAGTGGGAATCGGCCGAGGGGATTGCAGCCGTTTCCGACCACGCCCACCCTGCTGGGACTGTTGCTTTAATCGAGCCGTGGGGCAAGTTCGTGCAACTTTTTTCAGTCAATGGAATCCGAAACTTCATTAACAACCGCTGTGACCCTAGAAATTCGATCTGGGGGTATCACTCGAAGGTAGGGGGATCGTTTTGCTCGATCCATTAGGCCTTGATCCTGTTCATTCCGTACACATTATAGAATCCAGAAATTAATGCGTTCATAGCAGTGATTAAGGGGTAATTACCATGGATAGTAGAAATAAAGATGTTGTCGAAATACTCGTCGGTGGCGGTCTACGGTTTCTCTAATGGGGATATCTAAATTTGATGTTCACATTCTCGTAAGCTTGCGAATTCAAACGCAAGAGCAGTCGACTGCACTTTCGTATTCCACGTTACAGGGCGTGGTTCACTAGGCCAGAAAGCGACTTTTTCGCGTTACGCAGCGTGAAACATTTTACCTGGAACCTCAGATCCGCGAAAAGCGGAAAACTCGCTTTCTGTCCTAGTGAACAACACCACACGCTGCATGGGTCACTGTGAGAGTAATTAGATGCTTTTCAGGCCAGTTCGGAAAGCGCAAGTTCGACGGTGGGTTGAGATATCGAATTTCCTCTGGGACTTGAATCTATAGAATTGGGTTGTTGGCAATGTTTGTAGAGAAAATCCACTAATTCCAGGATTCCTTGGAAACAGCCATTGTCTATATCGACTATACCCGAAGCGGTAAGTCCGTAAACCTACCCATACCTTTGATATGATTCCAGATGACAAATTACAGGAAAGAGCAAAGTACTCGTTTTTGAATGGCAGGGATAAAAAAGTTGAGGTTTCACACGCAGTGTTCACACATCATCAGGAAGACGATACTTTAGCGATGCATGATCTAGACTTATATGTGAGTATAAGTATTGGATGTCTATCTATTCTCACAATCGAGTACCTGGCCATTTGCTCGGTTTTGACACTTGTAAAATCCAACTTCTCTTTTTACGGAATCTCTTCATTAAAGTCTA